TAAATCGAAATCAGCACTGTCTCCCATCTTCGACAGGACATCCTTGAAACTATCAGAGCTCTTTGCGATCTTGTACATCTTTTGCTTTTCAATTCCATAAAATGCACTTGTGAAATCGCAGCCACTTATTGCATGCAATGCAGGAAGAACATCGGACATCTCTTTTCCAATGTTGTCGAAAATCTTGGAAACCGATAGAATTCGTTTCTTGCTTTTTGAACCAATTTCTACAAATAGGTCACAATGGAGTCGATCTTTATAATAAATAGCAAGAACACCAACATCGCTGTCGACCGTGGAAATGCAGATATTTTCGCACGAGAATTGTTGAACGGCATGTTGGCAACTAAGAAACATCTTTGTATCTGCTTCTTCTTGTTTGGAGTGTAAAGCTTCTTCTGGTGTTGATGTAACTTTATCGGACGTTACTTGCAGCCGATATGCTACGCTTGCCACTGTCACCAATATAATTCGATTTGCTATCATGGTTTTGAAACGATCAGGATCCGACCAGTCTGCAAGGAAAAACTTGACAAGATCCACTTTATTGCAACCATCACTTAGATACTTTTTAAATTGTTTCGGCGGCTTCTGATCTCGCCTGGTTAACTGTATGCGAATACTTCCAGCAGATGCTCGTCGTTTTCGCTCGCAGCCTTTCAAAGAATCATCATAATATTGGTCGGTGACAAAATAAATCACTTTCGACGAATGCGACGTAATTCTTTTTAGCACGTACTCAGAAATTTCACCAAATGTCGCCAAACATAACGAGCCCAATTGTTGGATGATGACCATACCATCAAACACTCGTACACAATTATTTGGAGGCGCATCTACGGTTGGATCATCAACTGTGTTTTCAATGGCGTCCAACAACTTTGATTTGACTGTCTTCGACACATTCCCATCCAATGTGGCTAACGACCAAGGAATAGGGCCTAACGAATATGCAAGTACCTCCTTTAACGTAATTTCTCGCTTTCCGCATATTACCAACAATCGTGCAAAGATATCTCTATCAGCTTTCAGCGTTACACTTCGTTCTTTTACGGAGCATGACTTCTTCGCCTTCATTGATGCAAAGGTATTTAACTTCATTTTGGGGATTGCGATGTACAAATCTTCGTCGTTGGACTCTATGCGCTTCTCAATAAAATTTACAAATGCCTCCTTTCCTCTCGCTTCTGCATTTACCATGTCGTTTTCTACCTGCGCGCTGCTCTCCAAACCAGAACTAAGGTGTATCAATCGGTTGTTTTCTTTAAATGGTGTTCCCCACTCTTTGACGAGGTCATAGCTTCGAATAACACATTCTTCGTCGTATAAGATCCTTTTCGTAGCTAAATCTTTCGTCACGCATCTATCATCAGACATCCCAAGAAATTCTTCCACATGAGACTGGCATTTAGCAGCAACATGGCTTGTCAGAGCCCATCTTTGCACGGTACCTTCCGACGTGCTAAAACCAATAATACCACCAGCACACTTCTGCTGCCTGTTGATAGTCTGCTCAATTGCTTGATCCGATGGTATTTTGTTGAATTTACCTTGTTGTCTTCGAACAGAGAAATGCCCTGCTTCAAACTGTTGGTGGATGCGCGGATGCGTTTCTGGCAATTTCTTCATAGAAACTAGATAGTAGGTCAGAAAGCGAGCGTAGTTAGGTCGATCGTAGGCAAACATCCACGGCAACATGTTCTCAGTTGATTGAAGATGCAGTTTCCAGTCACCGAGTTTTATCGATCTGGCAAAATCAAGCAGAATTTGTACCATTTGCAAAAATGATGACCAAACACTTGCAGTTGGACCTAGGGAACCAGCCAAAAGAGAATTTTCATATGCGTGGATATGGCTAATCACATCCCGGTGATCATCACGAAAGGTTTCCAGCGATTCTTTAGATGGCGAGGAAATAAGCTTTTGAAGCCCTGCTGACTCGATAAAATCTTTATAACTTCTCTCTAAATGGCCATTGTGAACAGACTGCTCAAAGCTTTCAATCATATGCCTCTTCATTGCATCATACAAATACTTCAGAACTCTCATGGCGTTATTGTAGTGTTTCCCTCTGAACATTTGATCAACAGAGCTTTCTCCAAGAAGAGTTGATTCCACAATTATATCACGAAGGCCAGCATCACCAAATCGTTTTCCAATAACAGCGATAAAAATGCACATGGTGTGGAAAGCTCCAAGACGCAAGACTATGAACTTCTTCAGATCTACATACCGTGGATTCATGATAATTTCAACAGCTTTGGCGTAGATGGCCATGTCCAGAACAACGTCAGTTTCCGTCAACCCAAGCTTCTCTGCTTTCAGTTTAGATTGCGAGAGGAGTTCTAGAACAGTGTCATGCGATGTTGGAGATTGGTTAATAGCCGGCAAATATCCAATATTGTGGAAATTGTCGCAGTCATCGCCACATACCAAATAATTAAATCCAGTCCAATTGGGAATTTGCTGTTGGATGCCGAGTTTGCTCGACTGACTTTTTGCAACAATCCAAAGAGTGTCAATCTGGCTGGAGTACTGAACTTCTTCTTCATATAAATTTAAATCAACATCCGTTGGAGCTTCCGTACACTTTCGTTTAACTTGAATGTAGGGGGCGATATCATTATGTATTGGCTGGAAGGACCTTGGTTTCCTCTTCGCAGTAGTTGCTATACGTGTATTGGAAGATGGCTGCTCGGTCGAATTCAAATGAGCTGTTGATGATTGTATGATAATCCCGTTGGTGCAATGCAGTGTAAAACCTTTAAGACTTTCAGGATTAATATCGTTATTATCCCAAACGAATGTAACGAAATGCGAAGGTTGAATGATTGAAGGAGTAAAAGATCTATGGAGTTGGTCTTGAGTGTGCTCCATCGCCAAGTGCGTTTCAATAAGAAGAACATCATTATAAGAGATTCCATGTCCAAACTTATTTGTCCAACCAATAACTTGCTTTGAGCCGGTCTTCCTTTTAATCAAAAACGAAAATGCGGTGTGTTTTGATGTGTGCTTTTGACCATTGTTAGTGTGGTATATAAGGTCTTGCCCCGTTGAAGAAACTAAGCGCGAGACTTTGGCCGACTTTGCTGTTTTCTTGACAAGAATTCCTTCCAATAAACGAGTTGTCAAATTGGGAATGTGCGTTTCATTCGATAAAAATTCCTTTTCCGATGGCGGCCAACTAAAAACAACAAGATGTTGATATGAAATTTGAAATAAGCCTTTTCGGCATTCATCCTAAATAAGAGGGGAAAACATTTGCCGGGATGAATGATTTTTGCATGTCAGAGAAGTTGACAGATAAAACAGAAAATAAGATTGGAAACAATGTCTCCAGTTTTCTCATCAGTAAAACGGTTCAGGGTGAATATATTTGTATTCTTGTTTTGAGATCGTCATTTTACCTGCTATAAGTATTTGGAATTTCTAATAACTCCTTTCGGATTTCTCGCGCGACTTCTGTTGTTTTCTCCTCAAGCGTTTTGTCTTCCCATTTTTGATTTGCCAATTTTGCTCTCACAGTCATTTCGACCAACTTTCCCTTCTCGATATTGTTATTAAACATCAATTCGCTACCGTACGATGGACGCCAGAATCCTACCCTCTCTCCAAAATAATTTTGAATTTTCTCCTTTAATTTCTGAGCCGTCATCAAAACAACGCTATCCTTGTCGCCAGAAAATCGATCTGCTATCTCCGAAAATATCTTTGAAATATCACTCACCCGTACGACTTCACAGCCATCTATAACTTTTTCTGCGATGTGCCTTGTAACTTCATGAAAAACTAGATCTTCGTCCGCGTTATCGGCGTCCGCGTTATCTGCGTCTGCGTTTGGTACTCGTTTCTTGGCAAGTTTCTTGTAACAAGATTTGTGATAGTAGTATTCTCTTGCTATTATGGTCTGCCAATCGACACCAGCAACTTCTGCACGTAAAGAAGGATACTCGTCATCTTTTTCTGCTTGTTGCATTAATGTTTCTGCGCCATTTTCCGTTACGCATTTTGTCAACGGCTCATATCCACTCCCAGTTCGCGCAGTCTTTTTCGTTCCACAGATGCAGCACTCGTGATCAGCCAAAATTTTACCTATATGACGACGATATCACTGTTAAGGTACATTTTCACACAACAATTTGTCGCGCTCACTTGTGAGACGCCCTGTTCAATACCAAGCCCGTAGCTGGCTCTCAATTTCTGGGGTGGCACTGCAGAAAGAATGTAACGGAGGGTTTGATATGAGAAAAATTTTTTTCCCTAATTTATTTTGGCGACCTCCCACCCACCCCCCACCCCCCCCGTCGCCAAAAAAATTTCGGTCAGTGTACCACTTTAAGGGTCAAAAAATTTTTCCGGACATACCAATTTTTTCCGGACATACAAAATTTTTCAGAAAACTAACAAAATTTTTCGAAAAATCGCAAAATTAACCACAAAATTTACAGAATTTGTCCCATGATTACAATTGGTTTCCACGTCCTTTATCTCAATTTTTAATACCAAATTTCGGAGGGGGGGCACTGGGGGGGCACTGCCCCACCGAGTGAGGGGGCATTGCCCACCCCCCAGGCCCCCCTCAGCTACGGGCCTGTTCAATACTCGAAATAAATTTCATATTTCCTCGCAACCATGTAATATTCTCTATATATACACGATATTTATAGAGAATAATACATGAGTGCGCGGAAATACCTGATTTATTTCGAGTGTTGAACATGATATCCCACGAGTGAGCGCAGCGAACGAGTGATATATCATGTTCAACACGAGAAATAAATCTGGTATTTCCAAGCACCCATGTATTTTTCTGTTTATTATATCAACCCATTGAGTCGCATTGCACCCTGATGCACCCTACTTTAGCATTTTACTCTGTCTAACGCCAGACGTCAAGGGGAGAGCGCTGGCGTTTAATGGGTTAAAGGACAGTCTTTGAAAAGCGATAATCTTTCCAGAAAAGCGATAATTGAAAAGCGATAATTTTCATATGTGAAATTATCATGAATAATCCCACATGCGAGATTATCACTTTTATCAGTGCTCAAAATCTCTATAAAGCACTATATTTTATAGAATAAAACGCAATAATTATACCTTGACGACCTCTCTTTCTGGACGAAGTACGTGGAGTCTGCAGGATACTCTCGGCCGATGTCGATGCTTCAAGCTCAACGGTTTGAACTGTTTCCTCAGGCTCGATGACTTCCTCATTCAACTTTTCTAAAAGCCTCTTATTGGTGTATTTCTGATAACACTTCCTGTGATATCCATAATCAACTGAAGGTAGATCTTCCCCAAAAGAATCAAGGATGGCAATAACAGTGTCATCATTCCGAAGCTGTGCAGCTCGATAAACAACTTCTCGCGACTTTTTACTAAACCTGATGCTGGGTTCATCCTTTTCAAGTTTACATTTAAGGATACATTTGCTCTTTTGGAGCTTTTTTTTTCGCTTTGGTGGTGTTAAATTCAACTTAACATCCAAGGAAATAGTTGTTTTTGTCTTTTTTGACATAATTTTTTAAAACTTTCAAAGAAAAACCTTTTAATTTGACACTTTTTCACTACACGTGCGAAGGCATGAATATTTTGCATAATAATTTGCATACTTGAAGTTTCCGGGTAGACCGCTGATCGAAATAGTGTGGACTCATTTCTTGTGCCAAAATTAGAAACAAAATGGCGCTGTTTCGAACGTGTTGAAGTCAGACAGAAAACCATGTTTAACATGTTACACAAGAAAAATCTGCCAAAACAACATTTGAAATAATTTTAAGAGACATCTAAACTACAATATTATCAACAAAAGAATTGGTCCCTCGAGAAGGTAAGTGTGCACACATTTTTGACCCTCTGCCTCCCTGACTGTGACGTGCAAGTCAAGAATAGAGAAAATCAAAAATCAGTCCAGTCCAATTGTCCAGTCCAGTCCAACAGTCCAGTCCAACTGTCCAGTCCAGTCCAACTGTCCAGTCCAGTCCAGTCCATGTTTTGTACTATGCCTTTCTATTTTGTGCCATAACAAACCATAACATCATTGTGAGGGGAAACCCATAAGAATTGGAAAATTCGAAACGACATGTATAGTACGTTTTAGTTCATTCATAGACTGAACAGATTGGACAAAGTGGTCATTATTCACCACTGCAGCGATTTTCATCAACTAGATAACGAAATGGAGTCTTCCCGGACCATCCAAGAGACCATTAGAGGTAACATATATGAAGTGTCCTGCTATATAATTCAAGCACGACTCAATGACACACTTCAGTAATTACAGTATAACAGTAATTCCTTTATACTAGGCTTTCATCCAAGAACTTGCGTTCCTTGTTGTTAGGTAGCAATGTTGTTTATCAGTTTATAGCCAGTCAACTTCAAGTTTTGGTGGAAAAATCCGTGAAGAAACCACTATACGTTATCTCTATAAAAAAAATTTATATGACGCATGTCTAATAGTTTTAAAATTTTATTTGAGACACGCTTATAATAGTTGTATTTTACTACGATTTTAAGTTAATAAGAGTATACTTTCAGGTTATAATAATAATTTACTGAAAGATCTATTGTTTTGCCCAAATACAACGAATTGTTCAGTGTCAAAGGTTTTCTTTGCAAATAAAAATAAGCCTTTGAAATGTGTTGCACTTAATTAAGTGTAATCAAATGTTTATTAATTATATATACTGTACTATATTTTACTACATGCTCGCAATATATCCGTTTAATTGATTTCTTGGTCTATTTTAAAAATACATTGTATATAGTATTAAAATAATTTATTATACCCAAAGCAATTTCCTTCCCAAATTCTACACAATTCCATGAGGAATTCCAACTGGATCTTATATGAATTTCTATGAAAACAAATTTTCTATAGGATTTTTCATTAGAATTCTTATAGGAAATCTATGACTTAATAGATTAGATTTAATTAAATCAGCCCAAATCCTGTACAATCCTAGAGGAAATCCTATAAAAGTATAAAATATGAATTCCTAATATATACATGGTCACAAAACATTCTATTAGATATATTATATTAAATATTCCTATTAGATTTTTATTCATGCATTCCTATAGGATGGCCAGGATGGTAACTTCATTCTAGTCATGACATTCTAGCTCTTGGCATCAGCAACTATTATTTTCTGTGATAATCACAATGTGTGCATTGTGTCACAATACTGTACTGTAGTGTAATCAGTACTCCTAAAGCCTGTTTGCCACTTTACTAGTATCATACAATAACTTAATTAGAAAAAAAATTTAAATTTGGTCAATCTTGCTTGGTTAATACTTCCGTAGTATATATAAAAAAGTTCATTGCAATGAACCTTTAATTTTGATAATTATGTGCATGGATCAAAGCATATGAAATTTTAAATTTTAATTCAATGGAACAATTATTAACCCATTAAGCAACAATGCATCCCATTATATTCCTCTGTTTAATGCCACACAATTTTACTTGTCCAGGACAGGAAAGTATGCGTATTGGTCATTAATTGATTAAATAAATATTTTCCAACAGGCTCACATCCAACCTCTTCAAGTTTCAGACCAAATCATGCAAGACTCTGTATAATTACACAATCCCGACAAGTTATGGATTTAGATAAGGCTACCCAGTCTAAAAAAAGATCAAATGCTAACAGGTTTTACCAAGAAAGTGGTATTGGCACTGCAGTAATACTACAGTTTATTGTGGGTATTGTTGATGTAAAAACAGGTAAACTCTGGAACTGCAATATTAGGGTCAAACAGAGGAAGCTTATTGTTGTAAGTATGCAATGTATACACTGAGCTTGTAATTGACATATTTCATCACCCACATCAAACCAATATATTTTGTACACTAATTAATTGTCATAGGTAGTCCAGAAATATTTGCAAGTTATGTTTAATTAAATAATTCTTGGCATATATTTGCTCACCCCCAGTCCTCATCAATCACAATAACAATTAATTATAGCTCATAAATATTTTGAGTATTTTACTTAAAAAATAGACTTAGGCCTATTTCAAGCATCACGCTTCTCATGTGCCGAACCCATTAGAAACAATAGATAATGAGGCATGTTAGCTGATTATCTATTGTTTTAATGTGTTCGGCACATGAGAAGTTTGACGTTTGAAACAGGCATATAAGCATACATTTAATTTATAAAAAATCATAGTTTAATTTAAACATTTAGCAGAACCACTTGAAATCCAGCTGCACTGAGTTGATTTTAATACTGGGTTTCAAGTGTTATCTGCTAAAGATATAAACTATGAAATTTTGCTGATGTACTGTACATGTAGAGTTGGAGAGCTGAATGTAATGGAGGCATTTATTTCTTTTATTTTGTTACTGACCTTGTGTGGTTTATACCTTATAGAAGAGGAGTGGGTTAAAATAGACGTAGGCTCACATTGGTAGGTTTAGTGAATTTTGTGCTAGCATTTGGTAAGTATGACGTCACATGCGAAATAAAAACAACATGCATGCCTTGCATTCAATTGGCAGATGACGTCTACTTACCAAATACTTGCCCAAAATTTACCAAACTAACAAAAGCTAAAAATTCTAGCCTGGCCTAGCTGGAGACTAGAACTATGGTACCTTTCGCTTTTGAATATAATGGCCCGGAATGTGGGTTTTTCTACGGTCCATCCCGATTCCCGACGTCCCGTCTACAACAAAACTCAAATATTTCTGAGGATTTGTAATGCTCTTCTTTACGTGACGGTAATATCTTTCCTTTCTTCCCTATTGAGGCATGAAAATTAAAAAGCTATTAATTATCATTTAAGGACTTGCACACGCACAGCGAGCCTGTGTAGATAATACTTGTTGGCAAGGAGCAATTTGCATTAATGCCGTTGGTGAATTCAAAATGGCGGCAAGTCAAGCAAGCAAATACGAGCTCTACAATTTGTGATAATTCCCAACTAATAAGTGATGCTTCACATTCACAAAAAGCAAAATCTACTTTCCTATATCTTTTGGAAGACAATTTGTTTTGGGAGGGTGACTTGGAGTCACTAAAGATGTTTATTGAAGCTGATTTACAAATCAACGGAAGATGGTCTTCGCCACGCGGGGAAACGACCCAATTTAGTAACCCCGATTTTTGCTTAAAATGGCTTGGGCCTATTGATAAAAAGTTAACTATAGTCCAAGACAACGACGAAAATCACTTACAGATCACTTTAAAGAGCTATGCCATTCTACCAAAGTCAATAAACGACCAAATTCAGAATTCCGAAATCGAACACGTGCCAGATGTTGTTGTTGTCGACAAAGCCGACAAAACGGTAGCGGAAACCAAGGACGAAAATTATGACCAATATGGACACCACAGAGAAGAAATAGACAAGTTACTCGTTCTAATAAATGAAATTAAACAGAAACAAGACGAAGATCGGCAAATTAACGAGTGCAAAGCAGCAAAAACCGATGCAGAGATAAAGTCTCTTGTTCAACAAAATAAAAAAATGGCGGTCGAAATTAAATCATTAAACGCCATTAACGAAGAATTAAGAAATGATAATGCTATTATAAGATGTGCTTTCGAAATTAAGCAAGGAGAATGGACCAAAATCGAACACGCAAAATCTGGAGATAAAGAAAGAACTGAAGCAGAGCCTGTTCCCAATATAAACAGATATCAATCACTTCCTGACGAAACTACAGAGAGTGTAGACAGTGGTGTAAAAGCACAAATATCCGACTATCGTGCATACCAACAGACAAAATTCCAAAATTCAAGATCCGGTAGAAGAAATCCTAAACAACCAAAATTGACCAAGGCAAAGACCAACTCGCAACCCACCAAACCACCCAGAATGAACATTGATTTGGTCATAGGTGACTCGATGGTCAAAAATATTGACAACAAAAAGCTTGAGAGAGCCGCAAAACAAAAAACTGTTTGCCACTCTTACAGTGGAGCAACTGTCGAACAGATCCATCAGAAAATTGAGGAATATTGGAATGAAGATCACAACTATCAAAGAGTTGTAATTCATGTTGGAACAAATGATCTGGCTTGTGAAAAACCTGAAGAAGTTGCCAAAAAAATGGAAACACTTATCACCAAAGTGAAGACCCATGCCAATGAAGTTGCTGCTTCCAGTGTAATACGAAGGTATGACAACAAAGTTAGAGCAAGCAATATTACTAATTATAATAACCTATTGCATCAGTTATGCATTAAGCATAATATTAATTACATAGATAATGATTGCATAGATAGATCTATGCTAAATGGATCAAACCTCCATCTAAATAAACATGGAGATAAATCTTTAGGAGGTGCATTTTGTGCATTCTTAAAACCAAAGCGAATCCCTGTTCCACCTACTAGCTATCGTAATGAACATTTTTTATGGGAAGCTTCCAATCATCAGAGGAGAGACTGGTCAATGTACCTAAAGCATGTGAAAAAAATTCTGAACAATTAGACTCATTAGATCCTAATCCTGTGACAAATGAAAATGTGAGCAGCAATTTTTCAAATACTCTTAATTCCATTCCAAATGAAAGAGGTTTCAAAATGGCCTTTTTAAATATTGTTACTTTACCTACTAAAATAGATGAAATTCGTCATTCAATGTGTGACAAAAACATTGACCTAATTGCATTTAATGAGACACGACTAGACTTAAATATTTCTGATGGCCTCATTCACATTGATGGTTATGAGGTTGTTAGAAAAGATCGATCTCGCAACGGTGGTGGAGTTTGTATTTACCTTCGTAGCTCCATCAATTATAATATAAGATCAGATCTAATTCCACCTGAATTGGAGGCTGTTTGCTTAGAAATTACGAAACCACAAAGTCGACCATTTATTGTCACCACTATTTACCGACCACCAAATGCAACTGCAGAATTCTTTGACCATTTGGAAAAACTAATTAAACAAATTGATGATGAAAATAAAGAAATGTATATCTTAGGTGACCTAAATTGTAATTTGTTACAAGAGAAATTACTTTTTAATATTCCAACAAAAAAACTAGACTCGTTATACGAATTATATCAATTAACCCAATTGATCAATGAACCGACTCGGATTACAATCACAACAACCAGCCTTATTGATCATATAGTAACAAACACACCTGAAAAAATTTCACATTCTGGTGTTGTTCACACTGGAATCAGTGACCACAGTTTAGTTTACGCAATCAGAAAAATAAGAGTTTTCCAAAAGGTTGAAGATTTTGTTGAAATTAGAAATATGAAAAATTTTAATGAGACAAAATTTGTAGATGAGCTTCTCAATCAACATTGGGAATATATATATTTCTTTGGTGAAGAACCAAATTCAATGTGGGAAATTTGGAAAGAACTTTTCCTTGAAGTACTGAACAAACATGCACCATTGCAACACAAAAGAATTAGGTCCAGTAAAGTGCCCTGGATAACAAACAAAATAAAGGGTCTCATAAATACAAGAGACAACCTCAAAAGAAAGGCAATTATTACCAAGTTAGAGACTGATTGGCTAAACTATAAAAGAACTAGAAATCAAGTCAATATTGCACTAAGAAATGCAAAAAAAGATTATTATTCCACAAAAATTGCTGGTCAAAAATTTAATCCAAAAAAAGCATGGAAGTCAATTAATAACTTGTTAGGCAAACAAGCCACACATCCAGAAGTAAATGAACTCATATTAGAAGAAAATATTTTAAACAATCCAAAAGACATTTCAGAGGGGTTTAATAACTATTTCTCAAATATCGGACATAATCTGGCAAGTCAAATTGATACTTCAAATTGTAATTTTGAGACGTATGTAAAAAAAGCTACCTCAGAGTTTACTGCATTCCAACCCACGACTGTAAATAATATTTGTCAGTTGTTGGGTGGATTATCTAGCAACAAAGCCACCGGCATTGATAAGATATCATGTAAAATTATTAAGATGGCTACACCAGCCATAGCAGATTCACTGACATATATTTTTAACCAGGCTATTGCTTTATCCTCTTTTCCCGATGAATGGAAAATGGCTAGAGTTGTACCTCTTTACAAAGGTGGTCAGCGAAATATACCTGGAAACTATAGGCCCATTTCGGTTCTACCAGCCATAAGTAAAGTAATGGAACGAATCTTATATAATCAACTCGACAACTATTTAACTGAATTTGAATTACTAAGTAGCACCCAATTTGGCTTTCGAAATTCTCACTCTACAGCAACAGCACTTTTAGACTGTACCAATGAGTGGTATGTAAATATAGATAAAAAAATGTTTAACTTGGTGGTTTTCATAGACCTAAAAAAAGCATTTGATACTGTTGACCATAACATTCTGCTTAAAAAGTTGGAATGCTATGGAGTAAAGGGACAAGCTCTTAGCTTACTAAAATCATACCTTTCAAATCGACACCAGAAGTGCCAAATAAATAGATTTGTTTCATCAGAACAATTAATCAGATGTGGTGTACCCCAGGGCTCAATTTTAGGACCATTGCTGTTCCTGTTGTACATCAACGACTTACCCGAGTGTCTTAATAACACAAGACCTCGACTATTCGCTGATGACACAAATCTTACAGCCTCTGGTAACTCCATAGCTGATGTTGAGCTTGCAGTAAACTCTGATCTAGACAACCTAAGAAACTGGTTAATTGCCAATAAATGTAGCAAAAACAGAATTTATGCTAATTGGCTCTCCACAAATGATAAGAAATGTTTCAAATTTTCAACCAAATATTATAATTGAAAACAAACAAATCAGACAAGTTAATAAAACCAAAACTTTAGGAACAACAATTGACCAGCACTTAACTTGGAAGACTAATACTGAAAATATTTGTAAAAAAATAACATCGGGAATTTCAGCTCTACGTCGTGTCAAACCATTAATTGTGGATAGAAATACGCTTATTTCTATATACAATGCTATTGTACGTCCCTACTTTGATTATTGCTCTGAAGTTTGGGATGTATTTGGCGAAACACAATCTAAACGACTGCAAAAACTACAAAACAGAGCTGCTCGAATTATTTCAAATTTCAGCAATGATGTAGATCATTCTAGATATTGCTTTAAATGCCTTAGGCTGGGAGCCACTTGATAGAATAAGAAAAAAGGCAAAAGCAAGAATGATGTACAAAACATTAAACAAAATAGGCCCTGAGTTTCTCACAAACCTCTTCACGTATAAGAGTGATATAACAAATTATCAACTTCGAAACATTTCAAGTGGTCTTTGTCTACCACAACCACGTACCAATAATATGAAGAAGAGTTTTATGTATGATGGTGCTAAGCTCTGGAACTCTATTCCAAATGAAATTAGAGAGAGCAAATCCCTATCATGCTTCCAAAAGAAAATTGCCGCTCACATTTTTAATTAGACAACAAATGTTGTCATGTACAATGTAAATAGATTGTTATATTCCCATTACTTACTTTAATACCTGCATGCCTAATACTAATTCTAATACTCTGTAAATAATTTTCTAAAATTTATACTTCTGTAATGTCTTTTATACACGCCCCCTGTGGAAATCAGCTTCGGTTGACGGGGTTAGCGTGGTTAAATAAAGTTTATCTATCTATCTACGGCACTGGCAAGCGAGGCAAAGGGATTGTGGGCATAACAAGGACACCATCAGCACCATTTAGATGGACCCTCTTGTACAGTCTTTGCTCTGATTGGGGCAAAAACAAGGAAAATGTACCATCTTGACAATGATGATCATATGATGTATAACGAGTTTAAGCCATCACGAAAGTGAAGAGATGGAGAAGATGAGAAGAGAGTTCATGCAAGAGTCAAAGGTCTTCGATATCAGGCAACAGGAAGCAGTCCTTGATAAGCTGCAAAATATAGTTACAAAAGATATTGCAACAGCTGAGATACAAGAGTCCCTGCTCAATGCATCTGGCCTTGGCAAGGAGAAGTTGATCACATTTGTCAAAGAGAAGCTTGTGCTTCAAACAGAAACAGAAAAGAAGCTCAGGGATCCCTCGCCCAAAAATAAAGTGCCCACATTTGCAATTTTCCAAGAAGTAGAAATGAAAGTTAGATGTGACAAATCAGCTACCGTAGTTAGAGCTGAGAAGAATGTCCTACAGCGCATTATTACTGCCTTTAACACAGGAAGGAAAATAGACTTGCTGGAAATACTCAGCCATGAGTTGACAAACGTGCCTGTATCAGTTGTGGATGAGAATGGTTGTTTGCGAAGTGGAAATAAGTCTCTCCTCTCTCAGGTACTTTCCAGTGGTTTAGAAAGTGGTTTGAACAGTGGTTTAAACTGGCCATGCCACAAAGTTTATCTGGTAAAATTTTATTCAGAGTGTTAATGCCAACAGGAGACCTGTGATAACGAAACACTGTATCATCCAAGCTTGGCTTGAAATAGAACGCATCTATTTCGTCAGACATTTTTTTATATACTCCAGATACTTTTTATAGGACTCTACAAGGCATCGAGATCTCGCAGTTTTCTTTACAACAAATGTTTTGCACGTATTTGGCGGTTTTATCTAGAGCCAGAACAACTTCGGATGACCAGGAGCGTTATTTGTACTATACAATTTCAATCAGTTTATTATACTGTTTCATATTTATATATATATAGTCAAACTAAAGAGAAAATAAATTACATATAAGTACTAGCTAAGATTGTTATATACAAGAATGAACTTGAAATACAATATAATATACACGTTAAAATATTACTTACTTTATAGTTACTCCTAGTTTCCTTCGATGAAGTTCAATTTGAATCTAGCTAAGTGCGGTTGTTTTTAGTTTTTATAAGCATAATTTACATAAGTAATGCATGCATAAATCCTATGAAAGTCATTGTTATTCTAATTATGGGCAAAACACCCCCCTCCAGTTAGGAGGTACTGTAACGACTAACTTTTATGTTCATTTCTTTTTCTAAAAATGTTATTTAATAAATTTAATTGTCTAACTAAATTTAATTATTTTCTAGTTCTATTTCTTCTTTTGTGGCAATTAAGCACAGTTTATGAATTGGTCGATCGTAACATCCTTTTGCCATTTTAATTTGGACTTTTCTCACCATGTTATCTTTCCCAGGATAAGTATTAACAACGATTGCCATTTTCCATTGCGTTCTTGGTGTTGAATCAAGTTCCAAAACCAGATCTCCGATCTTCAAATTTTCTCTTGTATGAAACCATTTATTTCTCGGCAATAAATTTGGTGCAAAATATGTTATCCATGCTTTCCAGAATTCGTGAATCTTCTTTTGACAAATGCGTAGTAGATTCCTTGGATTGACTTTGCTCTATTCTTCGGGGATTGGTGGTGAGTTATGTTGGCCAATGATGAGGTCATTGGGTGTAATTGGCGGATCGTTATTTAACTTGCTAACCGAGCTTGGGTACAACGGTCGACTATTGACCAGGTAAGTAATCTCATTCAGGATCGTATGCCATTGCTCTTCAGTATACGCTTGATCTTTACATGTAGCATTCATTGCTTGACGTACTGACTTGATCAAGCTTTCTACCACTCCATTTTGATGACTTGCCTTTGGGATGTTGAACTCCCATCTGAAATCACAACTGAATTCTTCTGTAAGGACCTTTTGGATTTTTGAAGTATCCCAACAGGACGTAATTTCTTTGAGGTAGGCTTGGGCTCCAACAAAATTTGTACCGCAGTCAGACCAGCAAACATTAGGATGTCCACAAGTACAGGCAAATCTTCTAAATGCCATTAGAAATGTGTCAGTGCTTCTATCTGTCACAAGTTCCAATTGTATGGCTCTCATTGTCATACAAGTGAAAATTATTATTTGGGCCTCTTTACATGTTTTACGATTCTTCTTGATCTGAATTGGACCAAACATATCCATAGCTGTATTGGTAAACACAGGTAATCCTGTAGCTACACGAAGACTTGGGAGTTGTCCCTCTATCTGTTCCAATGGTTTGCTTCGTAATTTCTTGCATGTGATGCACTTGGTCGTAAGTTTCTTTGCGGTGTTCCGTATTCCCACTATCCAATACTTCTTTCGTGTTTCGTGCACAAGGCTTTTGTATCCACAATGACATTTTTGTTCGTGTAAATGACGTAATAACAGTGCAACTAAATGATGATCGCGTGGAAGGATAATTCACTTGCACATTTCTTGTGGAAGTGATCTAATATTCTCTAGTCTACCATGTGCATGCAACAAGCCTTCTTCATCGAACTTCGGCTGTAATCTTTGGGTAGAGAATTCTCTAATATCCATCTCTTGTTGACACCACTTAAACAGCAGATTTTCTGATGCTTTCAGTTCACTCCTGGAAATAGGATTTGTTTCTTTGACTTTGTTTTGCAAGATGCGAATAAATCGGAGAACATAGGCCAGTGTTCTTCGTATTTTAGAAAATGATGAAAAAGTATCTAGTAATCGTTTAAATAAATCATCGTTTGTGACTTTAACGATATTACAACTTTCACTTGTTATTTCTTCGCTTTCTTTCAATTCGCTCTTGAATTCGCTCTTATATTCAAAGTCCGTTTCTTCATTACTTTCGCTCAGGTCTTCACTTGACTTGCCAATTACCTCGGAACTAAGTAAGAATTGTAGACCGGCCATCCAATTATCTAGTTCATGTATGCAAATGCCTCTAGTAAGAGCGTCTGCAGGATTGTCTTTCGATTTAACGTATCTGAAATTTCCAACGTTTACACTTTCTTGAATTTCAGCCACTCTTGCTGATACAAACGGTTTAAATTTTCTTGCTGGTGTCTTGATCCAAGAAAGGACGGTCTGTGAATCAGTCCAGAGTACGTAGTTCCAATCTTTTGCATTAGCGAATTTCAACGCTTGTACACATGCTTTGTAAATACGAGTAAGAACTAGGCATCCAAGTAATTCTAAACTTGGAATAGACTTTTTTCTGAGCGGTGCCACGAATGCCTTGGCCATGATAGGGATACAACTGTAACCACCATCTTCACATTTCCATCTAAGGAAAATTACAGCTCCATACGCTAGCTCTCCTGCGTCGCAGAATCCGTGTATTTCGGGCTTATCGACTGCGTTATCTGGCTTGATCTTTCGATTAAATTGTAAATTAGGGACTTCGTTTAATACTTGGAAGTTGTCAATCCATTTACTTTGGATGGCATCTGGTAGGTCTTCATCCCACGAAAAGCCCGATGCCCATAAATCTTGGAGATCCACTCTAACCTTTATCATTACGGGCAAGACCAGTCCGAGGGGATCCCAAAGTTGCGATACAAGGGATAGACATCTTCGTTTAGTGAATATTCCTTCTGGTCTGATATCGAACTCTTTCTTGAATGTAAATACATCAATTTCTTTATTCCACTTATGCCCGAGGAAGGTAGTGCACTTTTCGTTTGACTTGTCGACTTCTTTGTGGTTAGAATTCCACGATTTGACCTCGAAATTCCCCGTGCTTAGAATGATGTCGATATCCGCAGTAATTTTCTTGTTTTTTTCGGGAGTTGGGGCTGAGCCACCGATATCATCGACATAAACGTTGTCTTGCAGTTGTTGGGAGGCTTCGGGTAAATCTTCTTGGTGGGCTTTACCTAATACCTTAATCGATCCTGTAGCAATGTCTGGTGCGGGTTTGTCTCCAAAATTCAACCGTACCCATTGAAAAATCTTAGGATCTTCGTCTTGATTTTGTCGGAACAAGAATCGGTGGTATATCTGGTCTTCGGGATGTATCATAATTTGGTTAAACATCTTTCGTAAGTCGCCGCAGTATCCTACATGGTCCCATCTCCACGCCATCAAGACGTCTTGAATATTATTAATGTAATTTGGACCCTTTTCTAGATAATCATTTAGGGATTTGTTGTCTGGACCTTTTGCGGAAGCATCGAAAACTAAACGTATTTTAGTCGAACGTTCCGGGGTAAATACTGCCTGCATCGGGAGGTACCATTCAGGTTTGTTGTGGTCGACTTGATCTGTCGGTACTTCAATAACGAAGGCTTGTTCTACTAACTTCTGTACTTCTGTTTCTATTTCGTCGAAGCACTTTTTATTTCTAAAGGTTTTTTCCGATGAAAGCATTCTTTGATACGCGATACTGTAGTTACTTTGACGCGGTGGTCCACCTTCCTTCCATGGCATCTTGACTTCGACTCTTCCCTCGATTATCTTCGTCGAGTCGGCAAGGGACTTTATGAATTTATTCTCCTTTAACATTTCGTCCGTACATGTACACATTTTGGTAGGTTTTACACCAAGTAGGTCTTGAGTGAGCAACGTCTTAATGTCTTCTTCTGCGCTTATGGTACCAACTTCGACTGAAATAGTTCTTGACACTTTGTCATCGTTTTCGCTACCGACGACCGTCGACACCTAGAACATACCAACCGAAGCAATTTCGTTTGGCGATTGGTCCTCCAAGCTCACTTTGTTTAATATGAATGTCAATAAACGCTGCGGCAAAATCTGTACCAATTAGTAAATCAATCGATCCACCATTAAGGTGTAATTTATCAACAATACTCTCTAGGTGAGGATAATTTTTTACCGCAGCTTTTGATATCGACTTTGCAGCACTACAGGGTTTCTGTACGGTAAGGACATGCACAGTTTTTATTATTTGGTCGTCGTTAATTGGTACTAGGGATATCTCGATTTGTTGTGACGTTTCGAAAGTTTAATGTCGAAAGCTACAGTGAAACGACTCGGTTTAGACGTTTGACCCGCTGTCAATCATTGCCAAAATCTCAACAAATTCTCCATATTTATTTCTTACTCGAATTTTTTGTACCGGACATTTTCCTTTTATTTTATCGTTCTTTTGAACATTGCTATTTTGCGTCTCTAATTTCTCTATATTAATTTCAGATGTCAACGGACTAAACTGTTGATTTACAGTACTATCGGAATTTCTTCTGTTATTGTGCAATGAATAATGATGGGGTTTAGTACATTGTTTACATGTTGTCCCGTCTGGTTTTTTACACGTATTTGTGTGATGGGTCATTAAACATTTTCGACAACGGTTATTCTGCTTAACAACTTCCCATCGTTCATCGACGCTTAAATTTTGATAAACAGGACATTCCGAGAGGTAGTGATGGGTTTTACAATTTAATGGGCATGAATCTTCTTCAGTCTGTTTAGTTCTCGAATTGTTAGTATGTTCAGAATTATTTCTAAGAGCATTTTCAGTTTGTTTATTGTAGGAACTGTTAACAGCATTAATTTTTGGTGGTTTAGGACTACTAGATTGATTAGTACTATCACTAGCATTAAATTGTTTTCCTCTCGATCTTAAATTTGCTTCTCTATACAACCATTCAATAAGATTTGTAATAATTTCTTTATGTTCCCGAATCATATCACGTCCGAAGTCAGCGTTATCTCTTGACTCCAATTTAGACAGTAATTGTGACATAATAAATGGAGATTCGTTTGAATCTGCTACCGAGCACCCGTTTTCTTCCATGTCATTTGCAAAGCCCATAATTTGAGTTGCATAACGTGAAAATGACGCTGAGTCGCTTTTTACTGGTTTGTGAAAGGTAATTTCATTTACTAAATCATCCATAAGTTTTCTTTTATCTGCAAATTCTTTATCTAATATTTCAAATGCTTTTTCTACCGATTTGCAGTATTTTACTTGGTCAGCCCAAAAAGAGTATTTTGGTAAAGCTTTGCGAAATCTCTGTAATTGTTCTTCTTTATCTTGTTTACATTTTTCCATCCAATATTTAAATTCATGTTTCCATGTCAAATACGATTTTCGTTTGCCGTCCCATACCGGGACTGAGAGTTTTTCTAATGAACTTGTCTTATCGGTTTTTGTTGAAGTAAGTGCCTCTGCCATTTTAGTCACGGCAAATGTCATAGCCTCAATACTGTCTGACTTATGTTCTGATGATTTATTTAAAGAGCACTTCTTTTGATATTCAGCGAAACTTTTAGTACAATTTAAATAGTGAGTCTTTACTTGAGTACCAATTTTCTTATTACTTTCGAGAATCTTTTCCGCTTCTTCGGAATCGCTAACTTTACCTTCTAATATTTTATCAATAATTACTTCTTGTTGTTGTTGTTTCATGAGCCTATATTTCGTTTCGATTTGTTTGTACACATTATCTAATGTTGAAACTTCTGCTTCAACACTGGAAAGTACTTGAAATTCTTCAAACAACTCGTATACAGAATTAACCATATTGTCCCACTTTGCTGTTAACAACGACACGTCAATTTTAGGCGGCATTTCTTTGCTTAATGTACTTGTTTATCGTTTATGTAAATGTTGATTTAAATGCTTGCCAGCAAAGCGTCTAATCAAACATTCCCTTAAATTGTTCAAGCTTTGCTTGGTTGAACATGCTTTGGATCTACCATGGTACTTTAGGACGTGATATTAATAATCTTCCATTCTTCTCCTACAGTTCGCAGATTACTTCTCTAGATATAAATTTGACTGTTTTGCACGTATTGGCGGTTTTATCTAGAGCCAGAACAACTTCGGATGACCAGGAGCGTTATTTGTACTATACGATTTCAATCAGTTTATTATACTGTCTCATATTTAAATATATAGTCAAACTCTCAGGTGCATTAATGCCTGGCTCCAATTTCGTAAGGAGTGGGAAAATAGGAAAAATCTTTAAAAATTAATTAAAAATTAACAAAGTACACTATGACTCTCATATTTGGGTGAGATGTTGGAAATCAACTGCCGATGTTTTTCAACTATTTGGTTTCTATAGAAACTAGTCATGTGACAAGATATAGGCGGTGATAATGGAAATTAACTTTATGTTTTAAAACACGGCTTGTGGGCACACTAAACATTCATGGATATGTACAAAAATATTATCACAGAACCTTTTACTCGTATACTGCAATGTACTAATTAGAAACTTAAAGATTATGCCACAGATATGAAAATGTTGCTGTGAATACAACAATGTCTCGGACAATGTCAATATAATTTGCACTAAAATGACTGTTCCAGATTACAGTGCTTACAAGTCTAATTGTAGGACCAAAGTTAGCTGTACTCTGGACAATATCTACTTATTAACGACCCACATTAACATTGTCTTATGTGCCCGCAAGTCCAACGCGTTTTTTGCGTGATGAATTCGCGCACGCCATGATCATTATATTAATATAGGCCCCTGCTGTGAAACAAAATATGAAATACAAATATAGAAATATTATAAAATGACTAACAAACCGTTTGCAACTAGTAAGTAGTGCATTCAAATAATATGCAAGGAACAGAGAGAATAATATATACAGAAGTACAATATGATAAGTACATATGTTCGTTTATATATTTAGCAGAATATTCGACACTTGTCTGAGTCTTTATATGAAAGGATATTATATTTCAACAACAACATTTATTGCGCCCTTAAGAGTCTACACTTAAACATCACCACCCCAAAAAAGTTTGAACCATCCATATGCTGGGTACTTATTTGTATTTCAAATATTTTTCTGTGCGTAGGAAAATAAAAAGGATACACAAATCGATGTTGAATAATTCAAACATAAAAACCCGCAATAGCGAGCTTTATATATTATATATTATATTATATATCAAAGTTCAAAGGTCGCCGCATATCGCATATAATATATTATACTATACAACGGCCAATTGCAGAAGAAAAACTAACAGTTTACTCATCCCTGCTTGTTGCTATAATCTAACATAATCCTAGAGCTCGTATTTATTGAATTTCAGTTTCATTCGAACGCCAAAATGCACTGAAATGGCAACACGCTAGATATGTGTTATCGCGCGCAACACGCGCGGACATATCAAGTCAAGCGTGGGCAGAGCAAAGCAAGAGCCAAGCATTAATCGGCCTGAGCATTCGCAGGGTCTTCATTGTTCAATGGTATGTACACAACTTACTGTAGTTGAATATCTACAACCACAAAACATTGAGCTACACTGCTACAGTATATACAAGGTGAACTGACTGGCAAAACTTTTAAATGGCATTAAGAATGAGGTTGGGTTGCAATTTTTAATAGGATAAATGGACAGGGATATTACATCACATTGCTAATGAGCATGAGTGGATAATGGAAGAAGGTGGTAATACAGGAAAATGTGGCCATGATCCATTAAGCGAAATAAACCCTGGTTGGAGAAAGGATCCCCTGCACTCAAAGCACTCATCAAGATTGTCATGGATACTCGCTTCCTGAACACACTTGTGTACTACACAAATTTCAGGTATAATCAGGTTCCTTATGTTTGAATTACTGAATAAGAATGCAGCATTTGCATTAGAATTCAACTAATTTTTCACAATTTTTTTTTCCATTTTCTAAATTTTTTAGACACACTGGTTTTTTAGAGTCATTCCATAATGTTATTTTGATGTATGCTCCCAAACGTCATGCATACTCATAAGTATTCGGGCAAGTAAACTATTTGGAAAATATACCTTTTTCCCAGGGAGAAAAATTAGCTTTACATTACATTGTACATATTGTATACTTTAATTAAAATATGCAGTAATGGTAGTAAAACTTGTTTATCTGTAGATTTCCAGTGTACCGTGCCAGGAATCAACTTGCTGCATTGGATTTCAACCATCACAAAGACAGAGAAGAAGCAACTACAGCTGGGGCCGGTTGTATAAAAAAGTGATTAAAGTCAATTATAGTTAGTGGAAACGTCATCCAATAAGAAGTGCGTATTTGAGAGTTAATCACTATTTAACTACAAAATAGTGATTAAAAAAGTGGTTAAGAGTTTTATACAACCGGCCCCTGATGGTCAACTTCGGTTTGTCTAATATCAGCAATCTGTTTATTTAATTTTTGCATGTTGCATTGTCATTTACTATATGGTAGTTGGTAATTGCATTTATAGATTTTAATTGGTTACTTAATTAAAGGTTTGGACGTAAGTTTAGTAAGAGAACACAACGGTGGTGCCATGTTCGTGTTCTGGTGCCAAAGCAATACACCCATATTCCAGAGCTCCTGCTCAAGATTTGTGAGAAAAGAATCAGTTGTGGTGGAACTGTCAATAGGAGAATTGGTTTGTTGGGTGAAGACCCAAGAAAGATAACTCCCAATATAGCTCCTGTTCATCCTCCTTCAGTAAAATCACTTGTTGAGGCACAGAAATCAACATTTTAGAGACTGACACTCGTGGATCTGCAGGGATGAGGTGAATATCAGAGTTTGGGTAGATGGAGCTCATAAGCCTTGGTTGGCAGTTCATCTAAGAGAAGGAAAACTCTGATTTCAAACCGCAGACCCCACCATGGGTCAGGCTGTCCATGTCAGTCTCGTTGATGTTAATCAAAATTTCATCAATGTTTCCTAGGCATGCTGATGAGCTCTGATATAGAGCTAAACAGTCGCACTGTTCATATTTAGCAAATTTCTCCCACCTGAAGAGCCATGCATGATAACAAATTTAATCAGGATTGTGAAACTAACACACAATGTGTCCCTATTTAGTAGTTATTCTATCCAATACTGTACCAAACAACTTTACTTTTCAAGGAAAAGTATTGGACATTAATGGTTAATTAAGAAAATGGGTTACTTATGAATAATTAACCCATTAATGTTCAACACCCCCAGTGCCCCTAGACAGAGTAGGGTGCATTTGGGCACATTAAAATAGGTTTGTTAACCCATTTACTGGCAGTACTCTACCAATGACGAGTAAAATCATGTGGCATTAGACAGATTAAGTACTAATTAGTAATGTGAATTTTGGCACATTTGACAGTCAAAGACTTTTCCTTTGATAATTAAAATCATATGGAATTAGACAGACGAGTAGTATAGTTTTAACCGATCCATAGGGGCATGTTAATGACAGATATTATCTCTTAACCATTTCACAAACAATGCACTCCCATGCACCCCCTTCTAATTTTCTTACTCTGTCTAAGGCCAAAAGATTTTACTCATCAAAGGAAAATTATTGGAAGTTAATGGTTAAACAAAAAATTAAATTGCTTGGAGAAAAGTTAGTAATAATTTTATTCCATGCCCAACAAACAATGAAAGAAATGTAAACTTTCGTAAAACATGAAATAAAGTGTTCTTACGATATGTACAGTATACACTGTATACATCCACGTGAAACACAATATTTTGTATTTTCTATTTGTATGATGTATTTTCTATTTGCACAAATGGGGAATCTGTCCCTTTCATATGTGTGTAAGCCAGTAAACTAGTTTTCATATCTTAACCCATTCACTGGCAGTACTCTATCACTGATGAGTAAAATTGTCTGGCATTAGACAGAGTAAATACAAAAAAAATGCCCAAGCACATTGCCAGTTAATGGGTTAAATATGCACACAGTCAACATTTGAGCAATCTTATTACAATGACTAATTAACCAAATAATTGTGAATTGGATTTGTTTCAGAACAATATCATATCATATTTTTCTGTGTTGGTGTTGTGTACTCAGGTGAATATGATGATGATTGTGATGTTACTCTGAGTGTATATCCATATACACTCAGAGTAACATTACAAACATAATATCATATCAGTTTTGAACTGTAAATATCCTTAAAATGAATACCATTTCTCAAATAGTGACTTGTGTGTCATTAACAAAATAAATGTCTACAAATGTGAAGGACGATAGCCTGTATAAATACCATTCGGCGAAGGGTAAGATGCACGTATTGTTGTGACACAGCAGCTCGGAACAACTCTTCTGTTGCCCCTTCCCAACTTGCCATATTGCCATAATACGAATTGTCGATATGCTGCATGTCGAAAGTTTTCATTGTTCCTAACTTCATTTAGAACAAGCATATCCTCCCTGTATCGCATTGCAAGATCCAATACATTGCCATCAAGAATCACTTGCCTAAATAGATTGCTTCTTGAGATGCAGCTACGTCCTGGTCTTTCAGAACAGCATTTGGTCTCCTCCTGAGTTGGCATGACAACACAGTGTGCACAGTTGCACCATGCAGGGGCCGGATTTTCAGGTTCTGGGCTCGGTGGTGGGGGTTGATTTGCACCTGGCAACTCACCATTCACAACATCAGCATATGCTCCTGGCTGCCTCCTCAACAGTGCTTTTGCGAAGTCTTTCAGGCTGACAAAATCCATTGCTTCTATTAGGTCCTAAAAAATAGACTCTTAGTAAATTTTAGGACCTACTTGGCCTACTTGGTCAAGATCAAGATCAGCTCATTTTTAATTTTTCTAGCCTTGATCTTAATGACATGGGATAATAACTTAAAAGTATTTAACTGTTTTAATACTAGCTCAGTCAGACTAAAAAGAATTTTCTTACATCCAATTCTTGTTCATGGTTGGCTAGAATTTCTGCAGCATTTGGCTGTTCAATTAAACGCCCTCAACCTCCATGACCTCCCCTACCACGACGTATTCCTCTACCACGACTTCCGCTGCCACAGGCCCACAACCTCTTTGTGCACGACCTCCTTGTTGGCCAATCCCTTGGTCTGCCACTCTACCTCTCCCCCTTGCACGACCTCTTCCTCTGCCTCTCACCTCTTCCTCTACATTTGGCAATGCAGCCGCATTCTCCACAATACTTCTTTCCAAATCATCAAGCAAAAAGCTTCCTTCGTGTGCTAGTTCTGCCATGACGGCAACAACAATTCTGACAACATGCTTCGAAGGAGAGATGTTGCTTTAAATGTCTTAAATACTTTCATGGTAGACACATAAATGTAACACTTTCAAAGCAATCAAGTTCCAAAGGTAAACATGAAACGAAATAGATATCGCACCTTCGGTATTTCGCCGCTCACACGATCCGGCTGGCGTCTGTTGATTTTTATACATATCCCGACACATATCCAGAGGCAGAGCGGTATCTTTATTGACGGCATCTAAGTGGTACTTTATAAACGAACATGAAATTCAAAAGCAAGCGAAATATTGTGAAAAGTCCACTCCTCAGTATTTTTGCTGTAAAAAATACTGTACCATTTTAAACAATTGCTCGTACGTCATGTTGTATAATTGAAGTGGATCATGATCAAAACAAAAAACGTAAACAAACCTCGCGCATGCGCAGATGCGACTGTAACCATAGTTAATAGAGGAGAAGAGCTGGGGGCGTGGCCAAATTATGTTATTGTTCTCTGTCACGTGACAATACGGGTGCATCAAAATCTATTTGTAATAGGAGATTGTATTACAGAGGAGGCTGTAGTACTTGAAAAACGTCTTTTACAGAAAGAAAAGCCAAATACCAGGTGCAAATTGCTCCATACATGGTTGCGTATGCCGTTCCAAACGTGACAAAATAGTCAAGTTTACATATTTACATCAAGTTGCTTGTTGAATACATCAAGTTGCGTGTTGAATACATCAAGTTGCTTTGTTGAATACATCAAGTTGCTTTGTTGAATACATGTGCCGTTCCAAACTCGAAAAAATATCAAGTTTACATATTTACATCAAGTTGTTTGTTGAATACATCAAGTTGCATGCATGTGTCTTACATCAAGTATATCAGAGTAAAATAATTCAAGTTGGCGTTGTTGATATTTATACATCAAGAAGGGAGAGGAGTCAGAGGACCGATAAACTGGAGGGGGGAAGGGTGTTGAAAAATCTCTGACAAAGATTTCACGGGGGGGATGGTCGCTCGCTCATATACACCACTATCAGTGATATACACCACTATCAGTGATATACACTGGTTTGTAGTCTTCTGTACCGTGCGGTTCCCGCTTTTAGTTTGCCTGTTAATGTTTGCCGCCATTTTCCGCCCTTTGCTTTCTCGATCTCATCGCCATGGAAAACCGTACGACAGTAGAAAATCTTGTTCGTCGTATTATTAGCGAAACTTTCACTTCCATCACCTGTTCGGGGAACGACATCCCAATCTGTTGATTCACCATTTGTCTCTCCAGAAGAGGAGTTAAACAGACGATTCAACATACCACGTAGCCTGCTCACAGGCCTGCAAGAAGGCTACTACATACCACGCGATCCACAACTAGTACTACAACAATCTCGACACGGACAAGACGCCATTCCCAGAGGCAGCACTCAACAATGTGCTCAGCCTGAAATTACAAATTCTCTTAACGGAAGGACAGATCTAATTATAGTTTTTCCCGCCTTTTGTTTTTATTTATTGAATTATTTCTTTCACCCCCCGTGAAATATTTGTCAGAGATTTTTCAACACCCTTCCCCCCTCAAGTTTATTTATGAGTTGAAATTTCGACCTGATCAAAATCGGTTCTCTCCCTTCTTGATGTATAAATATCAACAATGCCAACTTGAATTATTTTCACTCTGATATACTTGATGTAAGACACATGCAACTTGATGTATTCAACAAACAACTTGATGTAAATATGTAAACTTGATATTTTGTCGCGTTTGGAACGGCATATGTATTCAAACAAAGCAACTTGATGTATTCAACAAAGCAACTTGATGTATTCAAGAAGCAACTTGATGTATTCAACAAACAACTTGATGTAAATATGTAAACTTGATATTTTGTCACGTTTGGAACGGCATAGTTGCGGGACTAGTAGAAAACACTTTGATCTAAGTATTTTTTGAAATCCAACAAAAGACGACGATTTATCGACGAAAATTCACGAAGCGTTGGCGAGGCTTGTCACAAAGGACGCTGGATCGAGAGATAGATGCAAGTTTAAGAAATCAAATCGCTCAACAAACACTTCACATTTGTGAAAGACACTTTGAAAAGACCCAGCCGAAACATGTAAGTTATTTTCTTTCTCTGGTAGAGGTATTGATATTTTGGTATGAACGCTTGAAAGTTAGCAGAAGTACTTTATATATTTCATGTATCAAATGATCAAATTTGTATTAATCATATGGTCATAGAGCAGGAAAAATATATTACAATAAATATTAATGATTGGCATAAAAGTGCATTTCGGTCATTAGGTCATATTTATATAACAGTTAATCCTTGTGTTCATAAAATGAAGGTATACATATTATTCAGGACACTGTCACTGAGGACAGTAGAAACATTTTCGTATACAGTAAACAAAGTATTATACAATATTCAAAGGCTATTTTAATAGCAAGAAACTGGCATAATAAAGTAACAGGATTTTTGTTTGGCCATGTCATAGTATATGAAAGCCCCATTTACAGTTATTATAAATCTTGTTTGCTGTGAATTTTATTAATAATTACTATCTTAACAATACTTGTATAAATTAAGTCAACTTACTGTATATATAATCAGATATTTTATGTTCTGCTTTAGTTCCCACCTGCAAAAGGCTTGTAGCTGGTGCTATTCCTACCTTTAATTTACCCCAGAAAAGCATACCTCTCTACATCGACAATTGGAGCCAGGTAACATTGCTGGTCGTCACACTGGTCAGAGGAGTAAATGGTATGGTGGATTAGAAAAGGCCTTCTGTAACATAAAACAGAAATATTCTAGTGAGAACTTTTGTGGGGTTTTTGTACCCAGAGCTGTCATTAAGGGCCTGTAGCTTGCCTACTTCTGTCTGAACAAAGTTCATATAAACAAAACTGTGAAGCAATAAACAAACCTTTTACTTCCTCTAGTCAGAACATCAAAATTAAAACAAAAAATTAAATGATTTCAAACAGGTCAGGCTTTGATAGGATGTTTAGTAATCTTAAGAACTCTGTAAAATACCTTCCAAAATGCAGGGAATGTGTAAAATACCTTCCCAAATGCAGGCAATGGCATTTCCAATTGTTTAGATTTCAGGGTTCTAAAGGGGCATGCACCCAGACCCCTCTAGGAGTCTTGTGCCTTCAATGTTCAATCATTTTTCGGCCACCTACTTGTAAACTTAATGGCAGCACTGCTTCAAAAGAGTAATATGGAATAATTTGTACATATGTTATAAAATAATTATTAAAACAGATTATAAATGAATAGGTGAACAATAAGACTAGAACAATATATTTATTACCTTAGTTGAATAATTTGTAAAAATTTATACTAATATATACAGTAAATCACTATTACACAAAATTTTGTTTCACTTCAAATAGACAAGACATTGGTAGGCTCAACTTTGAGTTATCATGGTTTGAGAGACAACGGCTAGAATCACAGCACACTGACGTAGTGAATAAGTACACTATTCACATCTGAAATTGGCTGTCAACCAGGGGCTTAGGAACCAGGGGGCCAAGGCCCCCCAAGTTTTCAGAAGATGCAAAAAGTGCCCTTTGAGTGTGGGGCAGTTAAACAATGAAATGACCAGCGTGCTTGGCGTGCACTCTTTGCCTGAGAATCGGGCCTTTCAGAACCAGAAATCGGGCTGGAGCACGACAAATGGCACAATTTGAAACTTAACAGCCATACAGTTTACCAATGTTCTCAAAACGCAAGGACGTACTGGCATTCTTTTGATACTGCAATGCTATTAGATTGCTCAATGTCATTCCACAAACTTTTTGCTAATGGAGGAGCTTGGACAATCTTAATAACTTTATCAACGTGTAAAGAAGTAGGTTTGCCTTAATTCTTGTGTGCTTTCTAAAGCACCATTCAACAATTCTAGCAATATCATTAAGTCATGAATTTGGTACCCACAGGGCTGACGGCCCCTCCCCAGCAACATAAGCTGGGTGATCCAAACTCTTCTGATTTCACTGATAATTACTAGCAGAATACAGACATTAAAAAATATTTCTGGGTATATAATCCTTTGCACGTAGGTAAAATCTTCTGGCATCCAACAGTTGGTCTACAAAGCATTTGGAGAAGAATAAGAACTAAGTTTAATACCCTTAGGTCAATATTGTACTATACAGAGGAAATATCAAAATTTGATATTTCCTCTGCATGATATTTCCTTTGATATCTCCTTTGTCTAATATATTATAAGACTTGGTCTTGGAAACTGTGGGATGGGCATGAAATATCATGGAGTCTTGGAATAACATTCTATTTTGATGTGGCAGAATGATCAAAAGTAACAAATCACATGTTTATAGTAGACATTGAATCACAGTATATTGGTCAATATCTGGACTTGTAATTGACAATTGGACATAAGCCTTAGGGCCTATTTAAGACATTCATATCTAGGTTACAGTATATTGTCTATATATACAGTATTAAGATATTTACTGGTATTAAAGCATGCAGTTTCTTCAGTGTTTATAATAACTTTAGAATATCTGCTGGTAATAGCAAAGTCAACCGTTCGGGCATATTCACCAGCATCAAAAGCACGACTTTATCTTCTCTGCATGGATGAAAATATTCTTTCCTTTTCCCTACCTCTCGAATGATCGACAATGCCTCTCATATGCGTGATAAGTCATATAACATGGGTTTTGATTTTCCCTTTGGCAGTACTAGCTGTAGAATTTGTCGAGTGCTTATAAATACTGCGTCGATATTCACACGGGAATTGCTTTAATCGTTCAATCTAAACGACAAATATAAGTCAAATATTAAGTCTAAGGTATCTCACTACATATTGTTTAATTGGACACAGTGTAAAGGACTTACTTCTTCAACTGAACACGATATTTCTTCAGTTAATTCATGCGCGTTGATTTGCAGCAGCTAAATAGTTTGATGAAAATCGCCTCCGTCGTTGTATCTGCGTCTCCAGCACCCAGAATTGGGTGAATTTTGCTTTCTGAATCGTATGCCGAACTTGTCGAAGCCATAACAAGAACAACAATGCCTTATTTAAAAATTTATAAGCACAGTATCATATTTCTGTAATACTACGCTAAAGTAATTTCTGAATTTGATGCACCCGAAATGTCACGTGACGTACCTTTCCAACATCTGAAATTAATTAGCTCGAAAGCCTTTGAAGTTTGCCGGCCTTCCAAACCCTCTCCTCTATTAACTATGCTGTAACCTACCTTTAACAAGACAGCTTTAAAATTTAGTAATCCAAAAACTATCATGTCATTTGTGAGCCAGAGGAGGTTGGGCAGGGGGGTCATGTGACACACAGTCATTTTTTTATACTTGTTTTCAATCGGTGTTCATTTGTGATTTGACCTCTGTCGTTGAAAGAGTTGCAGCTATTATAAAAAATATCAAATATGGATGCTTTCGACATACAACCATGCCAAGCGGCCGTATTTGCTGAGCAGAGTGCAGTGTACATACATTGTTGCAAGGTTTATTACGAAGTATCTTTTACTGTGGCAAGTTTAAAATGTTCAAGGTTAAATGCAGTGTTTTTGCACATCAGTTTTCTTGAATCCCCATCAATGCGAAGAATGTGCGTTATCCCGAGGAGTGATTCGATTCTCGAGAAACTTGCTGGCCTAAACTCGCCTTGTATTGTCCATGTGAAATCCAGTGTAGTAGTAAAGGTTGGTATACAACTTTATTTAAATGTGTTTAAAATCCTGCTATTTGATTATGCATGCACATACAGGACTACAAGTCCTTAGCCAAGTCTCAAACATGTCGTTTAATTTTTAATAGTTGGATCCCACAAAGCTTGAACAAGATGATTTAGACAATGATGAGATTCTGTTAATTTGGGATTTTGATGTGGATGAGTTTTATTGGAAAATGCTATAGCAATAACTCCAGCTACATCAACAGATGTTGAGGAATATCCTCAGGCACCTTACCCTGGGTTCAGAGGTTTTCTGGAGGCGACGAGGCGGAGAAAACCTCTGGGCGTGACCTGTTGAATTTCATTTCCATGACGTAATTTATTAATGTTTCACACTTCTGGTCTGAAGGGTGTAAACGTATTCAAAAGTATTAAACAAAAACATATTCCCCTCAGGGGCGGCGGAACCGGAGGGGCTAGGGGGGCTAAAGCCCCCCCCCAGAAGTAAAAGTGGGGGGGCTTAGCCCCCCCAGAAAATTTAGTTTCTTCTGGAAAAATTTAGATAATTAAGGAAAAATTTAGGTTATTTTTTGAAAATTTAGGTATGAAGGGAAAAATTTGCAATATTTTGTTTTAAAAATTGTGTATTTCCGGAAAAAAATTTTTGTTATATGTCCTGAAAAAATGTTTTCATCCCTTTAATTGTATATGTCCGGAAAAATTTTTGTACCCCTAAAATGGTGGGGAGGTAACGGAAAAAAAATTTAGCCCCCCCCCAGAATGAAATCTGTTCCGCCGCCGCTGATTCCCCTGACCAATTTTGTTGTGTTTGCCAATGTTACATTAACTGTTGTATTCGGAAGAGGAAAATGTAATATTTTCTCTGGGAAGATTTCCAATGAACTGGCGCATCGGCTGTCTATTGTGGACACAACGACAACGTGTCTCCAAATCTATACTGATGATATCTGTCTATATATTTTAAGCAGTTTCAAGTTACAAATTCAAAATACAAGCAGCAATCGAGTACATATTTTATACTTGCTTGTGAAATATATAGTAATGACAGTTATTGAATTATTACTTTCAGGTTTGATGATACAGACCGTTCTATATCATTCTGTTCAGGACTTTACATTGTGTATATTTACATATAAAATATATAATATATTTAATTTTAACCCAAATGCCTTGCCACGACTGAATTTTTGTTCATAAATATTCATGAATCCACAATACAGGCTACACAATTTTAAAACAAACTACATGTAAACAGTTGAACATACACAGTACAGCACAACCACATACACACAACAAAATTCCGCGACATATATACAGAATCATCGCATCATCATAGCGTGATATTATTATGTCTGTAATGACGCTATTTGATCTAACTGTTTAGGAATAACATGAACTTCATCTGAGACGACAGCCAACAAATTCTCCTCATAAACGTTTCCACGAACAATCGCTTTTTGTTAACGAAATGCACTCACTTGTCGAACAGTATAAATAGAATAGAACACAGCAAACATTTATTGTCTTAACTGAGGGGCTAGACCATCGATACATTTATAAAACAATTACACTTCATATGTACTGTAAGACAGGTCAGCCTGTCCACCTTCATGACTAACTGATTTTTCAATGTAAAGTGACCAACTCGGGCTTGCAAGAAACATATTTTATACATGTATTTGTAAATTTACTCCATGTAAATCATTAAGTAGACTTCAATGTCAAACCTAATACTATATTATTTTAATTAAATTAAATTAAACTCATAAACAAGTTTTTCCCACAAAATAGACCTTTCCAATTATTCTCTTTTACCCAATGGCATCCTTTCCATGTTAACTTATTTTAGCATGTCAGAGGCAGATTAATTAAATTCCCATGTTTTCCTGGATGAATTTGTTTCTTGCTGTTCTTAGGCTCAATAACAAAGTACAACTTACAACTTTTTTTTACAACTAAGGTGACTCCCTACAGTTATTCTTGTTCAAGCAATAATTCCGTAAAACAGGCTTATTCATGCAGAACGCGAATTCTTTTCGACTTGGTGGCAATATTGGTCACCTAAGGAATATTTCGAACTAGATTTCGACGATGTCAATGTTCCCATGGCAACATGACGACAGCATAAAGCCTTCCAATTTAACCCATAAATGTGCCGCTATCTCAAAAACGATGTTGGTGACCTATTTTTTTATTTCATATACCAATAAGGAATGATGCTCTGCAACTGTGGTGAAAGTTTAAAAAAATTCTGTAGTGTGTGATTTTTTTAAAAGCGAAAAATTTATTGCAAAATTTCCACACTACAGATTTTTTTAAAATTTGAAATTTATAAAATTTACCGCAAAATAAATTCGTGGCCAAAATTTGAAGATAGGTCACCGATGAAACTAATGAGTAAAATGCAAATAAAGTTAGAAAATAGCCTCGTGTAACTCGAGAAATTCCCCTATTGAAAAGCGTCGCTGACTAGTAAAAAGATTGTACGCGGGCGCAGAACGAGTTTTCATTCAGCAAAATCGAGCCGCAATGTTGTTTTTACTGTTTTGTTTTTGTCAATCTATGAGCTGTAACAGCCTATTAACAGGTGGACGTGTTTTTTTGTTTCATGTTTGGTTTTGTACTTTTTGCTAAAAATGAACAATTAGGCTATGAAACTGAAATATTTTTCTGTTTACATATAATCACTTTAATCTTGTAGAAACACGACTAAAAACGTGAACGTTTTCTTGAGAAGTAAACAACTTTTTAAACGTCTGTATGCAATTTTGCAAATGTTTTACAGTTGAGTCAGTTGACAGTGTATAAAAAAAATTAAAAATATTGTTTTGTAGCTATTTTTGGTCTAGTGATATT